GAGTGACTAAGTATAGGTGAGGAAGTTTACCTACCTGAGTTAGGGGAAGTATGAAGGACGATCATGTTAGCATTGGGTAAAGTATGCGGTAAAGGTTAGGTAGAGTGGAAGGAATAGACCGGACAAAGTGTAATGCTGAATAAAGGGGTGTGCTTGTTTTTCTCTTATCAGGGAGTTTGAGGAGAAGAGTCTGTCAAGATGTCGCAGGGCGGCGACGCGTCAGGTGCTCCCAAGAAAGGCCTGACGCTCGATGACCTTATCGCGGCTATTGACAGGCATGAAAGAAATCCGAGCAATATCCCCAAGGTCGCGATACCTTCCATTTTTGTAGGGAGAGAGTCTCAGAATGGCTGGAGCGGGTGGAACAAGCTCTGGTCGGGCGGTCGGATGTTGTAAAATTTCAGCTCATTCTCCAGTACGTTCTCCACAGCTACCACCAAAAAGTGAAGAAAGTTATAGATTTAGCCCAAGGTTGCTGGGAAAGATTCAAGGAGGGAATGCAGAGGAAGTACCGCCTGGGAGATGGACTGTTGACCACTGCGGACCTCGAGGCAATGAGCAAAGAGGGTTTTACGACGATAGGGGCTTTTGTTCAAAAATTTAAGAAGAGGGCGCGGAAGGTCCATGGGATTTCAGAGGAAGCACAGTGCGCCATCTTCCTGGGGCTACTCATGGCATCGGAGGCCGTCGAGTTGACGAGGCTTGGAGGAGGTAGCACCAAGCTCACCTGGGCCACTATTGACAGAGGGGTGGAAGTTGGATGTTTGGACCAGGTGGAGCAATGTCAGGTACGGCTGCAAAGGCAGAAGAGAAAGGAAAGAGATGCGACAACTTCTGGGAGCCCGGGGGTAACAAGGATTGTTACAGACGTATTGGTACAGCTGGGGTATGCGACAGAGCCGGTGGTGCAAAGGAGGGTAGTAACGGCTGTCCAAGTGAAAGGAACGGAGCCGATGATAGAGGGGGCTGTTCAGGAGGAGCTCTGGGAAAAGGAAGAGTCGGTGCCGCAACGCCTGACGAAGGCCTAGCGCAAAGTGCGTAATTTGGCGCAGGGCGGACAGGGATCAGGAAAAGCGCAGGCGCCTCAGGCGGTGGCGGCGGCTCCTCCAAGTGTGGCGGCGCCCTCGTCTAGTGCGGGCCCCTCGCAAGAAGGGGCACCCTCCTACGGACAGTGGCCCTGGCCGGTGATCAATGCAATTGTGCCATGGGGTAGCCCGCCGCCAGTAGCCGGACCACAAATGAGTATGCCGCCACCCATCTACCCCGCAGCCCAGGCCCAGCTTGTGGCCCCGCCGCCGTCACCTGCTCCCTGTTCACAGGGAAGCGTGGCTGGAGGTGGGAACCAGGGGCAGGGCAATCAAGGCAACGGATGGAGGGGTGGAGGAACGGGACGAGGCAGGAATGGCGGCGGAAGAGGAGGGCAATGGAATAGTCAAGGCCGAGGAAACCAAGGCCAGGGGAATCAAGGCCAAGGGTACCCAGGCCAGGGGTATCAAGGCCAGGGGGATCAGGGAAGTCAGGGGTATGGGAAACCCCCGTTTTGACTGGAGGACGGCCATCTTCCAACATTGTGACCAGCAAGGCCACACCATAAGGTTCTGTAACATAAGATAGGAAGACGAGAGGAGCGGGCTGATCTCCTCCACCATGGATGGGAACTTTAACAATCAGTTTGGGGAGGCCATTGACAGAAGGCTTGGAGGAGTGAGAGCGGAAGCCCAACGAAGGGCGGCAGTCGGGCCGCCACCCCCTGCCACGTTCAGGCTATGGCAGGAAAAGGAGGAACCACCGATTGGGGTAGAGGAAGTGGGGAGCGACGAGGAAGTGACTCAAGGAACACGTGGAGGAAGTAGGAGGGAAGAGTCCATAATCATCGAATCGGATGATGAAGACGAGGAAAGAAGGATGGAATCGCCATCCGTTTTATTGGGGAAGATGGAGGACCTACTGAACAAGGTGGGAAGGTACCAGCAGAAGTTGGTAGACCTCTGCGACGAAGTAAAGAGATGGAGGTCTAGCATCCCCACGGTGTTCCTCTATGACTCCGGCCCGGAGTCAGCGCCTGGGCGACCCGGAGTAAATGTGGTGGGGTCGTGCCCACAATCGGGAATGATGGGGAGACCCCTCACTCCGCAGGCCCGGCTTGCACAGGCAACACAAACGAGAAGTCAAGCCAAGGCCAGTGCCAACCAAGAACCTCCGAGAAGGGAGCCCGAACCGGGAAAAAGGAAAGAGGCAGTGAAAGTAGAGGATGACGATGATGAAGAGGAAGAAGACGAGAGGCTGCGTCGAGAAGAGGATCAGAGAGCGGAGCAGCGGGCAAGGAAAAAGGGGACCAGGGGAGAGGCCGAGTTGGTCATATGTGACGGACCACCCAAAAGGAAGAAGTACGCGGTTCGGTTGGAAGAGGGATTTGACGTAGAGAAAGTGATCGACCGGCTACTGGAAGGGCATAATGACCTCATGACCCTGAAGGAAATCCTATCGTCGGCCCCGCGGCTCCGCGATGAACTAAAGGGGAGATTGTCGCGGTGCCTGGTGCCCAATGTCCATCTGGGTACGATCCTGCCCAAGGAGGCTGAGTGGGCGGAGTCGGGTACGAAAATGGACTGGAAGTGTGTAGCCTGCGGCACGGTGAATTTGGTGGTGAAGGGTTCCAAGTGCGCAGCAATGGTGGACACTGGGGCGGAGATGAACATTATCCGAGAGGAGGACGCGATCAGATTCGGGCTAGATATAGACCGTTCTGACTGCGGTATTCTCCACGGAGCCAGCTGCAAGGCCGTATTTTGTGGGACAGCCTTGAATGTACTCATTGAGGTTGGAAAGGTGAAGGCCCGGGCTTGTTTCTTCATTATGCCAGACGTGGATCACGGAATCCTCCTAGGGAGGTCATTCCTGAGTAGGACGGAGACCGTGATGTTCAATAAGCATGATGGGACGTTAATTCTCCTCCTATGCGACCCTGCCTGCGGGAATTACGAAATAATTACCTGCAGAAACACAAGACCAAGGAGTATAAGGAACCGGCCCAACCCAGGATCCTTCACGATCGAAGAGTCGGAGGGCGAGTGCAGGAGGCTTCGGGCAGAGCCGGAAGGAGAAGAGGAGGTGAAAGCGTTTTTCCTTAGCCTATCGGACGTCGGGAAGGCCATGGACTTGGTGGCCGCACATGAGATGGCGGATACGGATGTCATCCAAGCCTTGAGGGAGTAGGTCCTAAAATGCCCCGAGGGGGGGAGATTGGAGCTGATATATCGTCTTCCGGACGAAAGGAGGAACCCCGCGTCCGCGTAGGCGCAATCTGTGAGTCGGCCTTTTTTAGGGGATGGCTCAAGCAGGGTTCCCAAAGGCGGTACAAGACGGTAGACAAGAAGTGTCGCCCGGTTCCCGTCCTCGTTACAGAGGATGATGAAGCATATTACGAGAGGGAACGAGGGTTGATACGACGAATGAGGGAGAGTGCTTTAGCAGGACCATGTCGTATCAACGAAGGGAATGAAGGGGAGTTGATTATAAGGGAGCCCGACTTCCTACTGCCTCAGGAGCGGACATTGATGGTGGAGTTGATGAAGAGGAGGCACAACGCCCATGCGTTTAGTGACGAGGAGCGTGGCAAGCTGGATGTGGACAAAATACCTATGATCTGCATCCATACCGTGCCACACGAGCCTTGGAACATGCGAGGGGCGTGATATCCTAATCCTGACGAGGAGAAGAAGGTGGTGGATTACCTCGACAACAAGATACGTACGCACGTCGCCGACTATTCAAGTGGGCCGTATGCGTCCCCGTGGTTCTGTTTCATCAAGCCTAACGGGACGCTGCGGTGGGTGCAAGATTTGCAGAGGCTGAATGCGGTGACCGTACGGGATGCTGGAGGACTGCCAAATGTGGATACTCTATCAGAATCCTGTGCTGGAAGGCCTATAATCTCACTTATAGACCTTTACTCAGGATATGATCAGTTTCCGGTCTACCCACCGGACAGGCCGGTGACGGTTATGCACACGCCGCAAGGATTAATCCACATGAACGTGGCCCCACAAGGGTGGACCAACGAGGTAGCAATGGTCCAACGGGCCATGATTCGGGTTATGCAGTCAGTCAGCCCTCATGTCACACAGCCATACATCGATGATTTGGCGGTGAAGGGGCCGACAGTGAAGGAGAGTGACGAAGTCTCGCTAGGGGTAAGGCGCTTTGTTTGGAAGCACATCCAGGACCTCGAAAAAGTCCTGAGCCTGCTCGAGGAGCATAACCTCACGGCGAGCGGGGCCAAATCCAGACATTGCATGAGGGAAGCGACTATCTTGGGGTTCGTCTGCAGCGAGAGGGGCCGAAGGCCGGATGTGAAAAAGACGGACAAGATTACTGAGTGGCCAGTTCCGTTCCACTCAATAACTGATGTCAGGAGCTTCCTTGGTACGTGTAGATTTAGGAGGGCCTTCGTCAAAAACTTCGCCGCTAAGACTGAACACCTGAGGAAACTAGTCCGTCAGGATCAAGAATGGGTTTGGGGTGAAGAGCAAGAAGAGGTGGTGGCCAGAATGAAGGAGGAGTTTCGAGAGGGAGGGTTGGTATTAGGGGCGCCAGATTATGATGCCACGAAGACACGAGTCTTCATTGTCGAAACGGATGCGGGGCCGACTGCCTTAGGGGGAGTTCTAATTCAGGCAGACATGGAAGGAAAGGAAAGACCCTTGCGATTTGAGAGCCGGACTCTCTGTACGACAGAGAGGAACTACTCTCAGTTCAAAAGGGAGACCCTTGCTGTCCTCCACTGTCTACGGATCTTCCGGAACTACATCTTCCGCAGGAGGTTTATTTTGAGAGTGGACCCGACCGCCCTGACCTACTCTCTGAGGAATTACGTTCCATCGGATCCGACGGCTGCCAGATGGCTGACGTACATCTGGATGTTTAACTTCGAGTTGGAACGGATTCCTGGTAGCAAGAACCGGGCGGACGGGCTGAGTCGTATCAACTAGGATAACCAGGAAGGAGAGGCGGTGGAGAATATGCCCCCAATTGATGGATTTCTAGACCAGGAAGAAGATGTCCGTCTTCATATCAACAAGTGGTCACCGCGAGTACCGAACTGTATAGGCTATCCTATCAGGCAAGCGCCGAGTGAGTACGAACGGAGGGCTGAGCTAGTCCTCAAACCCTTTGAAGAAGAGGATCCCTGGGGTAGTAAGGATGTTCAGTGGATGATGGAGTTAGCGCTGGCCAGCTCGCATAGCCTGGTGGAGGACATAAGGACGATCGAGGAAGGGCCAGGCCAGGTAGAACGACATGAGGACCTGATGGGAGGAATGTATCTCCTCGTCAACACGTTATTGCAGGAAAGCCTCGACCAGTCAGGCTCGTTGAACCCGGCAGGAAATGTGGACGAAGTGCCCGAGAGCCAGGACGACGAGTTCGAGGAGGGGGAAATTAAGGAGGTCTTTCGTGCATAAGAGTATGATGGGATCTACCTAGAGCTGGGACTCCTTCTGTCGTGCGAAATGCGGCTCAGGGATGCGAGTGATAGGGCTCAGAGGATGTTGCAGCGCTACTTAGTGCGGGATGACCACCTTTTTGTAAGGAGAGAAGTAGGGAATCCCAGGAGAGTCGTCTGTGGCAAGAATCGTCAAATTGACGTCGTAGCAGCGCTCCATGATGGCATTGCAGGAGGGCATCGAGGGATCCAAGCCACTTATGCCAAAATAAGCGAGTTGTACTACTGGGATGGAATGATGAATATGGTTGGGAAGTTCTGCCGGTCATGCGTGCCCTGCCAGGAGAGATCTCGTTTAAGACAAGGAGAGTCACTGCATCCAAAGCTAGAGCGAGAAGTGGGGGCTGTAGTGCATCTCGATCTACTTTTCATGTCGCTTGGGGATCATGGCTATAACTACATCTTCGATGTGCGCGATAATCTATCTGGCTTCGTAGATGGGCGTGCCTTTCGTACCAAGACCGGTTCAGTCTTGGTTAGCTGCATCGAGGAGTACTACCTACGTTATCCTTTCGTCAGGGAGTTCGTAATGGACAGGGGATCGGAATTTACTTGTCAGGAGGTGCAGAAGTTGTTATCAAGTTATGGAGTAGTAGCTAACTACACCACGGCCGCGCACCCCCAGACAAATGCTCCCGTAGAGAGAGGACATAGTACCATTACGAGCCTCCTGGTTAAGTGGACCGAAGGCAGGCCTAATAAATGGCCAAGATACCTGGGGCAACATTCTTTGTCGATAACATTACAGTGAAAAGATCCACCAAGTACGCACCTACGACGCTGTGGTACGGAAGACACGCCACCTTCCCTATCGAGAGTTTTTTTAAAACTTGGAGGCGCCAGGATATGGAACTCGACCTGTCCTTTGAGGAATTGCTCGACATTCGGGCGCGACAGATAGGAGCGATAGAGGAAAGGATCCAGGAGGCGTCCGATCAAGTGGCTAGAAACCGTATGGATGATAAGACTCGATGGGATCAGTCTGCTCGGGTGAGGAAAGTACCTCTGGCAGTTGGGGACGTCGTGCTTCTTTACGATTCATCGTTGGAAAAACAGTGGTCTAGGAAACTTGATAAGAGGTGGTTAGGTCCCTACGGATCGTACGGTTTGGAGACTTCGGAGCGTACGAGATCGAGAAATTGAATGGGACTGAGTGGAAGGATTGGGTATCTGGAACGCGATTGAAAAAAATTGTGGCGAGAGAAGAGGTAAGAGAGACGATTTGACTACCTCTAGACTAGAAGCGATAGGTTATGTAGGTCGGATAGGTTGTATGCTGCATGAGTATGGTCAGGTTTGAGCTTGCTTGATTGTCACCTGTTTGCTTACCCCAATATGTGTCTGTTGTCTCCTTCGCCTGTTGTGCAGGTCTGACTTTACGAAGACAGCCATGCCAAGAGGAGGGAGGGGGACACGGCCGCCTCGGAGGCCGTTGGGGGCATCAGGAGGATATGAGCAGCATGGGCCTCGTCATCGAGAGAGTACTCTGGTGTACGATGATGGGGACATCGAGCTATTCCTGGACAGTTTCTGGGAGCATGCGAGGCGTATGGGCTGGACAGTGGCCCAGACAATCGAGAGACTGAGGGGAGCAGGCAGGTTCGAGGAGCCCATTGCCAGGATTCGTAGGGAGGCGACGACGAGGCAGAAGGTGAAGACGAGGATGGAGGAGTTGCGACCCTCGCCTGTGGGACCAGATGGCAGGCCTATCCGTCTAGAGATTGGAAATGTGGCAGATTTTATCCCTGCCTTCGAGTGGTTCATGCAGGGGCAGGGTACGCTGAGAGATGAGTGGGCGAGGACGTTACCCCTCTGGACCAGAAAGGCGGAGAGGGCACTGGCTAAGCAGGTCAGAGACATGGCCCGGGACTGGGAGAGCTGCAGGGCACATCTGAGAGAGGCCTTTCGACGGCCAGAGCCCCTTCAGCCCAGAATTGAGAGGCGTCAGAGGAGTCAGAGGCAGAGGGACCCTGAGCCCAGGGAGGTGAGACCATCTCGAGGATGACAGAAGGCCCTAGCCAGGAGAGAAGAGGAACCGGAGCCGGAGCCAGAGGCTGAGGAGCGAGGGGCATACCCTGAGTGTGGGTTGGGACCAGTGGAGTTCCATCGGTTTGCCGAAGGTGGATTGAGGAGGTCACCAACACACACACAGGGGGAGTCGCCAGCGTCCGAGGAGCCTTTGAGGGAGTTGGAGGCGCATTTGGATATCTCTCAGTGGAGAGCGTCGCCTCGGGGTGAGGAGCATGGAGAGCCGGCAGAGGAGGCGCCGCGTGAGGAGGTGCCACGTAAGGAGGTGCCACGTAAGGAGGTGCCACGAGAGGAGGCACCGGCAGAGGAGGTGCCACGAGAGGGGATGCCACGAGAGGAGGTCCGGGATACTCAGCGAGAGAGAGGACTAGGCGATGATAGGAGACGTGCAGGGAAGGAAGTGATAGAGGTTGGAGAGGATACGCCCCCTCAGACGCCAGCAGTGGGTTTGAGACTTGGGGATGCACCAGGGAGCACTCGCCAGGCAGGGGAGAGGGTGCAGAGAGAGGAGGCCCCATTGCCCTCATTAGAAAAGGCTCCTTCGCTAGAGAGGAGGGCAAAAAGAAGGAGAGAGAGGGCATCTGTAAGGAGAGAAGCCTTGACCTTGATTGACAGGCACCTAGCAGCTCATGCCCTGGAGCACCCAGACCTGGAGGAGCTAGCACCTGCAGAGCCGCGCCAGGAGCCGTGCCAACCGGAGCAGGAGGTAGAGACAGAGATTCCAAAGAGGGTCAACCTCCGCACGAGGGAAAGAGCGTCAGCTGGAGAGACGCGCGAAGAAAAGAGGGCAATAAGAACCAGGAGGATAGAAGAGATATGGCAGGAGAGGCAGAGGTTGGAGGCGGCGGGGGAACTTCCGGAGCAGCAGCAGGAGAGGCAGAGATTGGAGGCAGCAGGGGCTCTCTCGGGTCAGCTACCCAACGAGCCAGCAAAGGCCCCAGAGATCCCAGAGATGTGGAGGGACTTCTGGGAGCGTAGAGGAGAGGAGCTTCCTTCGCCAATCAGAGTGAGGTTTGGGATGGCAAGGAAGGCAGAAGAAAGGTTGGATCGCAAGATCAAGTTCCTGGCCAAGACAACTTTTGACCGACACTTGTTGTTGGAGAGCGATCTGGCAGGGAAGAAGATGAAGGAAGCAAGCCATGGAGTACGCCTGGAGGCTATGGAGATGGAAATTCAGGAACTCAGGGCATTGGTGGCCAGCCAGGCAGCTATCATCGAGAGCATGAGGCAACGATCTCAGGGAAGGGCGGACAAGCCGGAGAGCAGCCGGCAGGGAGAGCAGAAGCAGCCAGGACATGGTTTGCCAGGACAACCATCTGCAGCAGAGACTTGCTAGGAGCCACCTATGGGGAGAGTTATCCTGGAGCCAGAGGAGGCGAGAGCCCAGAGGGAGGCAGAGAGAGAGGCCTTCGAGTTCAGAGCCCCTACTGAGCTCGCGACACTACCTATAGCAGCGGTGGGCCGGCAGTTGAGGAGGGGCTACCACCATCTAGTAGTGAGCCAGCTCAGGGCTCAACAGAGGGATCTATGGACGAGCTCATTGAGGCAGTGCACTCGATGCAGGAGGAGGCGAGTTTCGCCTGAGCAGAGGATAGAGGAGCCTCTCGAGAGAGAGATGGGAATTGAGGCGGAGGGTGTCATCGAGGGCGGGCTCCAGCAGTTGGGCACACCTGAGTACGGGCCAGAGGGGATTGAGGACCAACCTGGACTGAGTACCGAGGAGGTGGAGATACGAGAGGAGCCTTTGGATATGCCTCAGAGCCATGAGCTGAGCAGGCAGGCTAGCGAAGCACCATCGTCGTCAGGGTCTCAGAGAGGAAAGAAGAGGTCCAGAAAGTGGTTCGATACGTCCTGTTTCTTCTGTACAAAGGAGGGGCATCGAGCCTTGCAGTGTTCTGAGTTCCTTAAGGACAAGGCTAAAGGGAAGGTTACAGAGGAAGGAGGCAGGATGGATGATAGACATGGCAGGAGAGTAGAGAGATCTGCAGATGGGGGTAGGGCTCAACTATATAGGTAAAACCAGGAGGAGATGAGCGATCAGGATTGAGTTACCTATATGGTTGATATGGTGCATGTAGGACTAGAGTTAGGATTGGATGACATTCTGTAGGCCTAGGTGTTGTTGCTGTTGTCAGGCAGTATGGGTCGGGTTTTTGTTGAGTCTGCCATCTTGAGGACCGGGACATGGTAGATGAGGCCTGTACATACTGAGGTGGCCTACACCCTGATCTTCGAGAGACAAACCCAACTTGTACTTTGAGGACGACATCATTGTGAGTGTGGCTTTGAGTGAGTTGAGTGGGTTACGATTTGGGGACATTTGTGTATGGGGCGTTCTGCCCTTGAGTGTATGTTGGAGGTATTTGATGTCGGATATTTTATCCCTGAGTGTACATTATATTGAGACCTTTTTTGGGGACTACTTGTTATATATGACGATCACTCTCACACTCACTTGTGTGGTCCTGGCTTGATGGATGATGGTTTGGTGTGAAATATGCGCAAGAAAATGCTTGATGTATCTTGTGCTTTGTGAATCTGGATGAATGTGAACTGTCTACTCGCCGGTATACTCGTGCGATCTGCCCATGGGCAGATGAGAGGGCTGAGTATAAGGCAAGGAAGCGCAGTCTGTTTTGTGAGAGGATGTGAGGATCCGGAACATTTGTATGGTGAGTGTTCTATTGTTGAGTTGTGCAGAAGACCCATAAGTTGGTCTTTTTATATGGATCAGATGATGAGTGTGACACCTGTGAATGGAAAGGTTGTCCATTTGGAAGACGCATCTTCAGAGAGGGAAGATGTGTTAAAGAAAAGGTCGCGAGAGAATTCATCCTAGAGAGAGAGGGATGACAGAGAGACCTATTGAAGTAAGACCTCCTCTATAACCTCTATAAATAAGGTGGTTAATAAGATTGGTAAATGGAAGGTTGACTTTGAGTAGTAAAAGACTGACGAGAGAGACCAAATTTTGTTTGACTATTGGTGAAATTCTTGGATGTCGCAAATGGTGTGTTTTAAGAGATGTCATCAAGATGTGTGACTTTCTTGCTCTGATCAAGCTGGGAGACCACGACTTTGTGAACCAGGTGGTGATTTTGTTTTGTGATCATGGAGAGGTTGTCGTGTTTCCTCTGTGTGGTCCCACAGAGAGACTGGTAAATACCTTTATGTACGACAGGCCTATGCGTAGTCCCGCAATAGGCTTGTATTGTTGCGACACACCGCCCGGCCGCTTGTGCCAATCTTGGACATTTATAAAAGACCCAGCCAGGGGTATAACTAGTATCACTAAGGCGCAACCCTTAGTGTTGGCCGCTGTTTGGCACAACCTGAGCAGAGGGCCTGCGTCTGGCCAAGGGGGTAAAAACTTAAAGGGGCGTGAACGCCTAGGAGGGTTTTACTCCTGCGGAGAGGCTTGGGATAAGAGTCGAGTCATATGAGTCTTTTGAGGAAGTCCTGATTGAATGCTTATCGGGAACAGCCTATCGTGGCGCAACCTTGGAAGACACTACCGCTGAAATAACAATGCGGTGGGCCGTAGATCTAGAATGATCACCCAGACTATGGTGGGCCAAGATGAAGACCTGGTCTTCCTGTACTAGACTGCAGGAAAGCTTATGTGAGAGTCTATGTGGTATGGCTACGTGTGTTAATGTGAAGATTTTTGAGATGAAGGCGAGAGAATGCCTTCGAAGGTCTCAGTTAGGGCCCGCGCCCCTAGTCACGACTTGGTTTCCAGGGAAAGGGCTAGGGGCACACAACGAGAAGCCGACGGTTGTCTAGGGCACAGGGAAGAGGACGGTGAGAGATCCAATGGAGCTTATGCTGTAGTACAGTGAGGAGTATTCCGACGTCCGAGTGTCAGGGCGACGGAGACCCAGGTTAGAATCCTGGCAGCATAAAGTTGTGTTTGGCATGGATTATTGGAGGCCTCAACCCTGGGTCTGTCGGCTAATCGGATTGGTACCCTGCTCGTCAGCATTTTGGGATTGTGGTTGAATTGATAGCTTTTGATCCTGCGAAGCGACGGGGACATCGCTTAATGTGGTCCGGTAAGCTGTCGGCGCGAATACCCTTACAAGGGTATCCGCCCTGGTCTTTGCAAATGACAGAAAACAGTTTGGTTTAAAGTTTAAGTATGTCACACTAGGCGCGGCCGCGTCTGTAATTTATGGTGACTAGAGTAAAAAGTGCGTGGGCACTCAAGTTTGAGGCGCGCGTGATTTTTTCCTTATTTTGGTTACACTGGTAGACGTGGCGTGGATTTTGGTCAGCATATGTCATTTTTGTCTTGATTTGATTAGCCTATGAGTGTTCATTGGTTCCACGTGGTACGATGGACGGTCTAGTGAGCCGGTGCGGACTTACGCGGCATCCAAATGATGGGACCTGATGGATTCGGTCGGGTAAGGGTAGCCGCGGCACAGCCGGGAGGTTGGCGCGGCTTTTTTATGGTCATATGTGTGAGTGCGGGTCAGGGAATGGCGTGGGGCGGCTCCTTTGGCCACAAAAGGTCGGGGGCTACCTCTTTATTAGGTGACTCAGGCCTGCTGGTACCAGGCTTGGGCTTAGCCCTATAGGTTACAGCACCAGACTGATACGCAGCAGATGCATGGATCGAAGCCAACGGCATGCGACAAAGGAGTGGAGGAGCGCGGCGAAAAGGCTCGAGGGGTTGATGGGTAGGTAGGACTATCCCCCTCGCCTTTTGTTACCCCGGGGGCCGCAACTTTCGCCTAGTTACTGCGTGCATTGCAGTTCTTATATGTATATGATTTATTTTGAAGTTTTAATACTATTAAATTTTATCTCACGACCGTAGGTGGGCGTGAAATCGCACGTGGAGTATGTTGTATCCGCAGGGTTTGCCCGAAGTGCACTTGCAAACTGTTTTCGTGGTTGCGCCAGAGTTGCGCCCAACTCCGTTTTGTCTGGGACACGGTGCCATGGGTGTGGCTGACACCCAAGAGCCTAGTTCAGTGGGTACATCACCGAACTGTTGAACTGAAGGCCGGACCCGGATGGTAGGGCCGCGGGAAGCCAAGCCAAAGGTCCCGAACTGCCTAGGGCCAGATTATCCCTGCGGCTCAGGCTGTGTCCTTCGGGACATCCGTTAAAATTGGAAGGATATAGAGAGGATTAGCCTGGCCGCTGCATGCCGACTGATACCCGTAGGTCTGGGGATGAACCCGGACGGAAAGGGGAGCAAGCGCATGCAAAAGGGGCTAAGAAAAGAAAGTGGAGCAATAGCACTGTGGGGGTTAGACAGGCGGCGCGGCCTTTGGTGCCGCCACGAGGCGCTACCCCGGCCCGGTCCTTCTGGACATCCGTTAGAATTGGAACGATAAAGAGAAGATTAGTATGACGCCTGCGTAAGGGTTGGAAAGGAACCCGGACATAGTTGGCGCCAGGTACGTGAAGGTAAAAAGCGGGGGAGGGGTCTTGCGGTAGTACCGCCGCGACAATATGCCGCACTGCTGTGTGGCCGGACGTAGAAGGTTGGAAGGGCCAGCTTTTGGCCACTGCAGAGTTTTTGTGAGTCCGGGCATGAACCGGACGAGGTAAGCGGGGAAGCGGCGCTGGTCGGAGAGCCAGGGCAATAGAATTGGGGGAGGAGGACCGAACCCGGGCGAGAAGTAGGGCCCGGTGCATTTGGAAAAACGAGTTGCGCACCGCCTTTGGCTCCATGGGGCACTGCCGGAGGTAAGCCCTTCGGGGCGTTCGTAGTAGGCTGATCGATACAGAGTAGATTAGCATGGCCCGGGCGCTAGGACGACACACATATAATACGAGGAAAGCCCGATGGTTGGGCATTGTTCTCTTTTTTTTTACAGTCGAACGTCGTCGAGCCGTGAAGTGTTGGCACAGTGGGGCGACGAGCGCCAGGTACGGGAAGGGAGGGCAGAGAGGCAAGCCGACGGGCGCAGTAGGTGGGGAGAGTGAACGAACCGGGACGGTATATCGTGCCCGATGCGTTAGGCAGTGATGAATAGTGGGTGGTGGGCCAAGGCGACAGGGCGGTGGCGAGCGTTTGAGCTGGGTGGTACAGCAGGTAGGAGGGGAGCGGTGCGCCACAGGGCAGGTGCTGGGTGAAGGGGCGACGAACAGCGGACAACGAGAAGGATGAAACGAACAGATGAACCCGGACGACGGCGGGCGCCGGGTGCATGCAGAAGGTGGTATGGCGGGGAGATGGTACGGGGCGCAGCAGAAAGAGGGTAACCCGCGTGATTCTTCACGGAATCGGACGGGGGAAGGGGCAATCTTGAGGCTTCCACCCCGGGCGAACCCACGGGTAGAGTCAGTTTTAGTGTTAGAACAACAGAGTAGGGAGTTAGTGAGAAACCGGCTGCACCGGGATATGGCGGAGTGAGGAGAGAGGAGGAAGGAAATCGTATAACTCACTAGTTGGAGGGCGGATTTGGGCG